CGGGGGCGGGGTGGGGGGGGCCCGGCGGGGCGCACGTGGCGCGGGGGGGCGGCGCTCGGCGGGGCCCGTCCCGCTCCCGCCCCCGGGGCCCCTCCGCCCCTTATAGCGGCGGGGGCGGGGGCGGCCGCACTCGGCGGCGGTGGCGGCACCCGCAGGTAGGGCCCGGCCGGCCCACGTGGCGCGGCGGGACGGGGACGGGCGGGCGCGGGGTTGGGACCCCCCTCCTTCGGCTGCGGGACCCCCCCACACCCCATGACTCCTGGAGCCTCCCCCGGCTGCTGAAGCGCTCCGGCGGCTCCGCGCTGCCCGGGGCCGGTGAGGGTCCCCGCGCCGTTGCCGGGGCTCGCGGCCGCCGCCGTGGCCGTTCGGTTCGGTGGCGGGTCGGTTACACCGCGGCGGTTCTGCCCGCGTTGGATCCGCCGGTCCGGCCCCCCCCCCCCGGCTCCCTCAGACCCCCGGGAGGGGGGGAAGCCGTGTTTTTGTCCGCGCACCGGGGTGGCCGCGTGGTGAGGGTCCCACACGCGCCCCGCCCCGACCGCCCCCGCTCCTCCTTCAGCGGCAGCAGCGCCCCGGGGTCGGGGATCCCCCCGCGCCCTTCTCCCGGTGACCGGCGGGACCCGGGCCTGGGGGTGGCTGGTGGTGGCCTTGGGGGTCCTGGGTTGCCCAGCTGCCCTAGGCAGCGTTTCCTTGCCCCAGAGGGGGTTCCCCTGGGCCGGGGAGGGGGGTCTCTGCCCCGGAGGCTCCTTGTCCCCCGACCCCCCTCCAGCGGGGCCGGGCCCAGCCCCTCAGGCCGCTCCCCGGGCGCGTCCGCGGGACGGTCCCCGCGCCATTTGAGGGTGCTCGATAAGCGCTCGGGGTGCGGGGAAGGGGCGATTACTGCGTGTGTCTGGCGGCTGATGAAGGCAGGGAAGGCCCGGCAGCCGCGTGGGAACCGTGTCCTGCTGCTGGGGGTGAGTTTAGGGCTCTGGGGTGCCCCCCGTCCCCGTGGGGAGCGCTCCCGGAGCCCTCAGCCCCTGGCTGGGCTCCACATCGCTCACACCAGCCCCGGGCGGCTCCTCTGGGCAGGTGCTCGGAGCTGGACCTCGGGCGCTCGAGGCCGGCCGGGTGGTTGAGGTGCCCGGGTCCCTCAGCGCCGGGATCCACTGCTGGGGTTTGCGGGAGGGACTGCGGGGCTCCAGCCCCGGGAAAGGCGCCTTTAACGCCTGTTTCTGCCTTGCTCAGGGAGGAGGAGAAGGAGGCGGTGAGGTCCCTACGGCGCCACACGTGTGTGAGGTGCACACCCGCCCTCAGGTGTGCGGGTGGGCTGTCACTCGGCCGCCGAGGTGTTGCGGTGATCGGCAGTGGGAAGGTTGGACTCTTGGAACTCGCTGGTGGCTGGTGGTCGCTCACACTCGCCCCGTAACGAGGGGCTGTCGAAACGCTCCCCGAGCTGGCACCTACTTGCTCTGGTTGAAGCCCAGTGGTCTCTGGCAGGTGTTTGCTGGCCCCAGAATGAGATGCTCGGGGAGCTGCGTGCGGCTGGGCTCCAGATGTGCTGTTGGGATGCTTTGCCCGGGGTGGGTGTCCTGGCTCGCGGCAGGGCCCCCAAATGTGTCACAAAAGGTTGAGCAGTATTGGGGGGGTTTGGGAGCTGACCTGAGGAAAAGGGATGAACAAGAGGTGAACAAGAGGATCAGAACAAAGTTGTGGGTCAGGTGTAGCTGTAGCAGGAGAGGTGGGATTTGTGTCCTTCCCTGGGACAGCAAATGTTCTGAGTGTTCAGAACCCTTTCTGCAGGCTCACACCCTGCCGTGTGAGAGCAGGCCCTTTGCACCAGGATTACTCACGTTCTCTCTCATGTGCTTTAAGTTCCTTCTGAGGAAAAAGATGGATTTTCTTAGTTGCATCACAAGAAACCAGGTCTAATGATTCTGTTTTTGTGCCTTTCTGTGAGCCTTAAGCCTTTTTGTGGTGCACAGGCATCCCATTTTCATGCTAAGTGAGGTAATTTAGTGCTGGCTGATTCTCCTGGGTGTTTTTGCTCTGAGGTTTCCTTGGCTGTGTCTGGAAGGGAAGGAGCAGGGCTGAGAAATGGGCCGGGGGAGGGAACAGCTGGGGTGTGCTGGGTGTGGAGAAACCCCCTGAGCTCCTGTTTGGTAGCTTTGTGGGAAGGGGCTTTCTCAGTCTTAGATGAATCGCTGGGGTGAGTGATCTTGTAATCACAGGTTTTGCTAGTGTATGGCAAACCTCCCTGCCCCAAAGTCGTGGGGGTGCCTGTGCCGGTCCCGGCCCCTCAAGAAGGTGTGAAGCCTCCTTCTCTTCCAGGAGGTGTTCCCTAAAAAAGGTGTGAATGGTCGCATGTGCTTTCTTTTGGCTCCTACTTCGCACGATTGGCCTGATTTATCTGGCAGCTAAGGTGGAAAATACCCGGTGACTTTCATGCTGTCATTTTATATCTCCTTTATGAGGAGTTGAAAAGCTGCACGTAGGCTCGGGGAGGCGAGGTGCATCTCATTAAGTGCTATAGTGCAAATCTATTGTTGCACTTTTATGACTCTTCCTATTTCCTTCTCTGGAATCAGCCTGTAACAGTGACTGTAAGAAAGTGGGAGCCTCTCGCCGGCTGACTCACTTTCAAACGTGCCCTTAGAGCCGCTGCAGTGTAGTTGCAGTTGTACTGTAGCCAAAGAAAATCCGTGTGGAGCTGTAGTTAGTTGCTGAAACCACAATCACCCGCGTGCTACTGGTGTGACCTCCTCTCCCACCTCCATGCAGGTGCTGCCTTAGTCTTCAGTGTGAGTCTCCCACCTCCATCCTGGTGCTGCCCCAGCCCTGGTTTGAGTGCTGGGTTCATGATATGACCTTTCCCAGCTCTGTCCTGGTGCTCCCTTATCCCTGGTTTGAGGGCTCAGAGGCAGCAATAAAGTGGCAGTGGCTGGGAGCAGAGCTCAGGCTCCTGCTCTTGGGGGAGAGACAGTTCTGTTTGGACAGTGACAACTGTGACTTTTTGGGGGTTTGCAGCCCCCTGCTCTGCCAAGACACCGGGAGCTGTCCCTGGCTGGCAGTGTGGGTGTCTAATGAAAGAATGCCGGTGCTATTCCGTACCACATTTTTCTCATTCTGAGGATTTCCTGGCGGGCACAGGGTGTTCTGGGAGCGTTCCTGAGCACTGCTGGTGCGGGGAGGATCAGCTCTGTGTCCTGCCAGAGCACGACTCGTGCTCGGGGTGGGACTGTGACACCACGTACAGGGGCAGAGCACCTCCTGTCCCCTCCGGAGACTGGGGGACTTGGCTGGCTGCTGGTGCTGTGGGAATCCTTTTCTCTAGGAATATGGACACAGTTAGAGAAGGGGATCTGCGTGCTGTGCCTGGAGCTGAAGCCAATGTGAGCCCAGAGGACACGCAAGAGCTGCTGCACGTAATGTTCTTGTAACCAGCCTGGCCACAGGGTTTTGGGTCAGAGTGCTCTGGGAGAGCTGTGGCCACAGCCAGGCTCTGGTGTAGAAATAAGCTAGGCTTTTGACTTGGGCTTGTTAGTAGCTTGCTTAAGCTTGACTTCATGCTAGAGTAAGATGCTTGGTCCTTGCTCAGACAGGCTGAGCCTAGCTACTGCTAACAACCAGGCATGGCATCCCTGCATGGGAGCTCCTCTGGTGGGCAGAAATAGCTGCTCACTCGATCTGGTTGGTTGTTTTTCCCCAAAGCTGCCAACAAACCATCCCAACATCTCACTTTGCTGGGCAGCTCACAGCCTTTCACAGCCTGTGCTGCTCTGGGGAGCATTTTGGAGGTCGGAAGGCTGTGTTTGCTGGAGAGAACCGTGGCGGGTGTCCAGGGAAGGTCTGTGGCGGGTGTCCAGGGAAGGTCTGTGGTGAGTGTCCAGGAAGGTCCATGGCAGGTGTCCAGGGAAGGTCCATGGTCCTGCCCGGCAGGGCGAGCAAGATGATCTGTGTCTCTGCAGGCCAGGGCTCGTGCTGGCGGTGGAGCTGGAGGAGGGCAGCTGCCAATGCCGTGCCCCGTGGCGTCTGTCTGTCTGTCTGTCTGCATGTTGGGCCAGCAGACCAGGGCACGTCTGGGGGTGCACTGGCCGTCCCCGGTGGGGAGAGACACTGAGCGGGCCCGGCTGCTTCTGGCCTAAACCTTGAGCCTGCCCGTGCGGGCTGCCGGCCTCAAGCAAGCCCTGCCCGTGCTGCTGACCTCACCTCACCCCGGCAGCGAGGGCTGGGGCTGAGCGGGGCCTCAATCGACCATTGTCTTGGTGCAGAGCCCTTGGAAGCGCTGGGGAGTCACGTAGGCCATGTGCTGCCAGGTTAAATCCCGGCTGTGGGGGCTCGCTGGAATTACAGCTCTGTGCTTAATGCCCTAAACCCGCTTAAAACCGGTGAAAGTGGTGTCTCATTAGCTCCTGACAATCTTGATTTCGTCTTGTTGCTGGCCAGAAAAGGGCCAGATTTGAAGCTATAAAGTGTTATTGGCTGTGGACACCTTCGTTTCCCCAGCATGAGATCTCAGTTTAGTTTCAGGGACCAGAAGGGATGCCGGGAGTCTGCCAGCTCCCAGTGTTGGACAAATGTCCCATGGGATGTTTATGGCCCTGTGCTGAGCACTGGAAGAGCCTGTTGTGGTGAGCTGGGCTTGGGAGGTTCTGCTGGGAGGGGTAGATATGTGTCAGGCTCTCCTTTGGCTCGTGCTTTGGGATGGGGCTGGTGGAAACAGGCTCCCGGGGACCAGTGTCCCCTTCTCTGCTGGGAGCTTGAGGGAGGAGTACCCCCAGGGAGTGGGATCTGTGCTGCTGGTGAGGGGCAGCTTTGTGCCCATCCTACCTTGTTTCAGTGTTGGCATTCCCAGGCCAAAGGCAGGGTCCAGCTGACAAAGGCGCAAGGAGCTCAAATGGCTGCTGTATAGCTGGGACATCCCTGGACTTCTTTTTGCCATGGAGATCCCGCTCCAGACATTGCTACATCCTGCTCTGGAGCTGGGAGAGCGCAGGAGGAGCAGAAGGCAGGGAGCAGAGGCAGCAGGGCTGGGATGAGTTGCTGTGGACTTCACACCTACCAAGGTGTGCTGGGTGAGCTTCTACCAGCAGTGGCACAAACCTGCATGGACACCGGGATAGGGGTGGGCTGTGGGAGCAGGAGCTGGGGCTCCCTGGCTGCCCTGCTTCAGGTCCCAGGCACTCTGAGCATGGGAAAGGCTTTGTGAGTTTACACAGCAGCAGATGCCATGAGTGTATGCCCCGAGCAGGGAAGCCTTGAGCTGGAGGGATGTGTGAGCAGAGGCAGAGGTGTGTTGTGCTCAGGCACAGCCCCTGCGTGGGTGGGGGATGTCCTTCTTCCTCTGACCCCAAAAAGGAGTGGTGTGAGGCCACTTTCATAAAGGCTTTGCCCCAGAAATACTTTGCAGCATTCGCAGCACTTTATAAATGTGAGCCTCTGTCTTTCTGTGCTGGAGTCCTGCCAATCCGGGCTTTGAAAAGCGCAGCAATTTGCTGCATTATGTAACTAAAAAGTCTTGAAATCATCCTGTTCCAGGCCCCTTTGGAGAAGGGATAACAGTGCCTGTGCGTGGGACCTCGGAGATGGAAGGGCTTTAGTCTCCTGTGGGATCTGTTTCGAGGTGATACCGTCCTCGTTGCCTCCATTCCTGCTCTCGATATCGCTGTGCAGAGGAGGGTGGCTGTAGGCTACCCATTCCTGTGGATTAGTCAGGACTTCAACAGGGAGCAGATGTGATACTCACACTCATTACTCGCTCTCATCAGTCTTAATTACTGCAAATATGGTTATTTTATTTCCTAATAGGGCAAACTGTAGCTGGCTGCCTGGCAGCTGTGAATTTGGTTTCCAAACACGTCTTACACGTTGCAGCTCTTCCAAAACAGAGCTGGAAATGTCATAACTATGTTCTGAGTGTTTTTTTTTTTTTTTCCTTTTTGCAAAGGGGAGGAATCTTTCCAATTAGGCTGCCTGCCTTACATGTGCTTTATTTTCTTTTTCCCTCGCTCCTTTGAAACTATTTCTGTGTGGAGGCAAGGAGGAAATCAGCAAGAAGCCTTAATGCGGTTGAGAATGAGCTTTCTAAAACTGGTCTTTCTTAATAAGGATTTTCAATGAGTCAGGGAAAAGTGTTGTGGCATGCAGAACTCCCCATGTAAACCCTCTGGCGTCAGGCTTTGGGAATCTTGCTTCATGGTCTCAAAACCTTGTTCAGCTGAAGGTTTTTTCATTGTGCCTCAGCAATGCAAGAGAGGTCATGTCTAACCTGCCAGAGGCCTTTTATTTTACAGAGAGATGCCACCTCAGCACCCACAGGAGGAGGAATGCTGCTCGCAGGGGAAGAACAAATAGGTGAACCAAGCCACAGTCATTCCTGAGCAGTTGAGCTCCTCGGGAACAGTGTATGTGTCTCAGGAGCAAAAGGGAAAAATCCCCAACACCTCATCCACACCCCGCCAGCCTTTGCCTTGGATGGCTTTTATTGCCTGTAGTTTTAATTAGTGCTCACAAGTAGATTGTATTCCGTGCTGGGAGTTTTTATAGCCAACACCTGGTAGTTTCAGCTTTTAAAAAAAACGTTTTGAATAAATCAGTGTGGTTGGATGAGGCTTTAAGGTTCACTGAAGGCCATGAAAGCTCAGTGTGACTCAAAGCAAGAGGTGGTGGAAGTGCCAGTGTGGGGAGGGGATGTTCAGCAATTCCCGGTGCTTGCAGTGGGTGGGCTGCTCCATGTCCGGAGAGGCCAGAGTGCATCAGGAGCCTCTGGCACTTCCCTCCCTGACTGCTGGTGCCAGGTGGGTGCCCACAGGTGTGTTGGCCCGGGGATCTGCCTGCAGCCAGACCCCAATGTGGGTCAAGCCATCCCTGTGAGTCCCAGAGAGGAAATCAGAGGAAAAAGTCTCTGGCTCCTGGGCATAGTTCAGCTGCGGACGTGCCAGGGGCAGCGTCTTGTCAATGATTCCTTTGTTGGAGCGGCGGGTGGCTCGGAGCTGCTCGTGATGGTCATGTGTCACACTGGCCAGGATGCAGGAAAATACCCTGCCAGTCAGAAACCAGTGTCTGGGTCAGGCTAAACCAGTCTTAGCGGCTTATGGAATCCGGCCTCCCGTGCTTTGCTTCCTCTCACCTCGCGTGGGTCCTCCGGGGCATCACCTGAGCACGGCCAGGTGTCGGGTGGCTCTGGCAAACCCAGTGCTGTATCAGGTAACTGCTGCTGGTGCCTCCGGTGCCAGGTGGGAGCGGGGTCTCCCTATGGCTCTGGGCTGTGCTTCGGGTGGGACGCCCTGATCCCGGCCTTGGATGTGCCTCGGAGTTACATGGAGCGAGTGAAAAGGCAGGCGCCCGCAGTGCTGTGGTGTGTGCCCAGGGGACGTGCCAGGTAGATGCTGGCATGTCAACAGCCGTGGATGAGATGGTAATCGCCGCGAGCCGGGGCGGATTCGCGCTATAAATAGGAGGCTGCACCTCTCGGAGCCAGCACCACGCTGCTTTGAAGTTGTCGCTGTGCCTGGTGTGACCCGACGAGCTCTGGAAAAGGCTCTCTGACTCCAAGGTGGCTTTTTCCTCGAGTGCAAACCTCAGCAGCAAGCTGCAGAGCGAGGGGTGGGCTCTGGTGAAGGAGCCCAGTGACCCCTCCTTGGCTGATGGTGCTTAATATGGGCAGGGCGATCTCTGGCTGGGGAGGGCCGTGGTGCATCAGAAAGTGTCTTCTAAAACCCCTGGGGCCACACAGGAGTTCTGGGGTTGGTAGTGATTCCTGTTGCTTTGCATGTTGTGACCCAGGTTTGTGAGCAGCTGCCCTGGTTGTGGTTCCTCCCAGGATGGCTCGTGCTGCTCTCGGCTGAGCAGCCGTGGTTCAGAGGAGCTGTGCCTCCGGGGTGTGATCCAGCTGTGCAACAGCTGCAGCGTGGGCCTGTTCATGAGCAGCCCGACCCTGCTGGCCTCTGGATCGCTCCCAATCAGCCTCTCCCTGCTCAGCCTCTCCAAGGGGATTCCATGCTTCAGCAAGACTGTGTGACATTTCCCCATTTATTTTGTTCTGTAATCCCTTCTGGTTTCATCTTTTTAGGTGAATTGGTTTTTACATTTTGGTGCTTTGCGAAACCTGCCTTTTGGATAGGGGGAGGGGTTTGGATGCAGCTGGGTCAGGAGATGCCCAGGCAGGGCCAAGTCCCCTGGGAATCAGGCTCTGCTGGGGCAGCTCCATGTGGATCCACCTCCCCCTTCCCTGGCAGCATACAGGAGCCTTCCCTGGTCACTGCTCAGGCTAAATTTAGCTGCAGCCCTTGACCTTTAGGGGTAGTGGGTGTGCTGTGACACCTGACTGTTCTTTAGCAAAACAGGGGTGTCCTGGCCCCTGTGTGGGGACTTATTTCAGTCACTGTGTCTGCAGTCAATAACCTGGGTGTGCTGCTCCTGCTCCAGGTGGCCTAGAGCTTCCTGGGATATTGAAGTGCTTGGGTTTCACTCCTGGAGATGCTGTGGGGGCTCTGCCCATGCAGATGAGCCCTGGCTGCTGCTGTCCCAGACACTGTCTGGCCTTTCCAGGTCAGGGTGTCATATCTTAAATTTATCCCTTACAAATACATACTGTCCAGGGCTCTTAAAGGCCAGCTGCAATATGAGCGTGTATTTTGGGGTGGCCCAGTGTGCTGGTGACCCTCAAGTGCTCCCACCCCTCGGATCAGCTCTCCTGGAGGTGGTGGGGGCACTGCTGCTGTGCCAGCCTTGGGAGCAGAGCTTGAGCTGTGCAGTTGTGTGCCAGGAGCAGGGATGCAGCGTCTGCTCTCAGCTGAGGCAACACTTTGTCCCTTGCAGATCTTTGAACCCCAACTGAGTCGTTGCCAACTTGGTTCAAGATGCCACCGCCCGTCGGAGGCCCCGTGGGATACACTCCTCCTGAAGGAGGATGGGGATGGGCCGTGGTCGTCGGAGCCTTCATCTCCATTGGATTTTCCTATGCCTTCCCCAAATCCATCACCGTGTTCTTCAAAGAGATTGAGGTCATCTTCAATGCGTCCAGCAGCAAAGTCTCCTGGATCTCGTCCATCATGCTGGCTGTTATGTATGCAGGAGGTAAGTGGGCTGGAGGCAGCAGTGCTTGTGCTCCTGTGTCACAGCACAGGATGCTGCTCTGCTGCTGGGGCTGGTGATGCCCACCTGGCCATAGCGAAACAACCAAAACTTTGCTAAAAGTTGGAATTCTCTCCTTATGTGAGAGCAAAACCTCCCTTAATGAGTTTTCTTGAAAGAGGTTGCTCAGAAAGTTCTATTTAGTGCCCAGAATGCAAAAACCGGGTTAATCTGTCCTCCTCTGCAAAGCTGTAAGTAAAATCTTTCCGGGGAATTATGACTTGTGTAATTCTGCCCTTGTCCTTGTTACAGTGGGCTATGGACTCTGTGTCTGCTCCCAGCACCCTCCTGAAGGCCAGGGAGCTGCTGTGCCACGTGTGGGAGCCTCATTCCCAGAGGCACTTTTCTTTTAGATAAGACATTGATTTTTTTTTTTTTTTATTATTTTTAAATTCAGTGTACAGTAGGTCTGTCTAGGGATTTGTCCCCGTTTTCTGGTGAGCTCAGCTGTGCTTGGAGTGCACTGAAGCCTCGTGCTGCCTTTTCCTCCTTGCTGGTGCCGAGCAGTGTCATGAGCAGCTTGTGCTGTTTGAGGATGGCAATGTGCACTGGAAGTACAGAGGCATGAGCAGAATAAGGCAAACCCACTTAAACTAAAGCAGCTCCCCTCCCCTGCCCTTCAGCAACTGCCTTTTGAAGGCTTTTAATCCCCCAGCCGTGTGCTTTATGCTTGTCTTTAATGGGTGAGGAGCAAGCAGGGCGCTCCTCGTCTCCAGACCCTGGGGTCTTGTACCCGCCTGCAAACACGGCCTTGTGCTGGGCTGAAAGAAACTCTTACTGGGAGCCTGCTGTTGTGGCCACTTCAGAGGCAAATGGGAGCTTGTCCTGCTGCCATGCCCAGCTGGCGAGGTGCCCGCGGCCTCGCTGCATTTGTGCATCCAAAGGAGCTGACGTCAGCTCCCGGCTGAGCACGAGGCTTTTCCTTTGGAGGGAACAGGCTCTGCTTTGTCCTCGCTCAGCCAGCGAAGCGACCAGCACATTTCCCTGCTCCCATGTTATAACAAGCTTGTAAACCGTGTAACTGCCTTAATGAGACCAAATCTGGGCCATTCCTCCCCTCCTAATAGCTCAGAGCTGGTTCCTCTGGGTGCCCTGAGGGCAGCACTGGCTGGAGCTACCTGGCAGCAGGGGTGAGAGTTGCCTCCTCCAGCCCTGGGGTCGTGGTTGTCCCCCTGTCCCCCTCTGTCCACACTGTCGCTGTCTTTCCTGCCCCCATTGATCTGTTGCCATTAAATTCCAAGAACTGCTGATCTTGAACCACTTGCTCATAAGCTGGTGCCAGGGATGCTGAAAGTACCCCAGACTTGCCCAAGTGCTTTTTTTTCACCCAGAGGGTGGTTGGGCACTGGAACAGGCTCCCCAGGGCAGTGGTCATGGCCCCAAAGCCTTACAAAGCTCAAGGAGCCTTTGGACAACACTCAGGCACATGTTGGGATTTTTAGGGTTGCCCTGGGTGGGGCCAGGAGCTGGACTTCAGTGATCCTTGCTGATCCTTTCCAACTCAGGATTTTCTATGATTTGTCCCACAGCTGCTGGAGCACAGGAACATGCTCCTGCCCGAACCCAGACTCTGCAAAGAGTCTGAATTGCACTGGAGCAATAGGGCACCTGGCACTACCCAGCTGGGTAGTTTCCTGCTGGCTGCCCTTGAATCCTGCTGCTCCCTGGCTGGACTTACTGGAGGGGAGGCCGTGGGTGCTGTTAGACTCTGTCCAGGGGCACCATATTTCTAAGTTCAAGGTCCAGTGCTGAGCAAAGTGCTGAGTGCTCTGCGGGGAAGCCTGTGGGATTTGGGGTGATGTGGCACCTCCTGGGTGCTGCTGCTCCCTCTCACGAGACCAGGGCCATGGCCCATTCCCATGGGACCACACTGGATGCAGAGAGCAGGATGCTGTGGGGCTGGGGGCAGCCTCTGCAGCTCCAAGGCCTCTGTAACCTTCTCCAGACTTTGTTTAAACTGGGCAAAAAGGTCAAGTAGCATCTGAGGATCCATGAACAACATGTTGACAACCTCTCTGTCTGTTAATGGCAAAGCGGGGTCTGTTAATATTCACTGGATGAACATCCAGTCTATTTAAATACCTTTTAGTGTCTGTAGAGCATGCTTGGCAGTATCTAATCACTGTTTGCTTTGGATTAAAGCTCCTGATAGTGAAGCACTTAAAAGGGCAATTGGGTCCTGTTTGCCTTAGGGGTAGCAGTGAAAACAGAAGCACCCCTTCTCCTGGGGCAGTGCTGCTCCTCCTGTGAGCCCTGGGAGCTTCACTTGTGCCCACAGAAGATGCTTCCTCACAACTTTGTCTGGTCTTGGTAAGAAACCTTGTGCTGGAGATGGGCAGTTGCTGTGCAGTTGCTTTGCTGCTGAGACCCCAGGCTGTGGTGGGTAGGTGACTGCAGGCAGGGCAGAGGCCACAGCAGGGGCAGGTGGCTTCACCCTGTCCCAAACCCCTGTTTTTGGGGACAGCTGGTGCCTAAGCAACTCCTGTTTCAGCCCACAGAAGGCAACTTGCTCAGAGAAATCAAAGTTTTCTGTGGTCTGACCAATTCCTACTCTTGTGGTGGTTTAGATTGGATATTAGGAAGAAATTCTTCCTTGTGCACAGGTTACCTGGAGAAGCTGTGGGTGCCCCATCCCTGGAAGTGTTCAAGGCCAGGTTGGACAGGGCTTGGAGCAACCTGTGGAAGGTGTCCCTGCCCATGGCAGGGAGTTGGAACTAGATACTCTTTAAGGTCCCTTCCAACCCAAACCATTCTGTGATTCTCTTATCTCCTCCTACCCTTACCCAGTTCCCTCCCTGGGTGAAGCATCACTATGTGAACGGTGGAACCCTCTGGCAGCAAAGCTGCAGTGTGCTTGTGTGTGTGTGTCCTGTCTCTCATGCAAAGATAACTCACCTTGGGTGCATTTCCTTTGTCCCCCAGGTCCCATCAGCAGCATCCTGGTGAACAAGTACGGCAGCAGGCCCATCATGATCGCGGGCGGGTGCCTGTCGGGCTGCGGGCTGATCGCAGCCTCCTTCTGCAACACGGTGGAGGAGCTCTACTTCTGTGTTGGGGTCATAGGGGGTAAGTGAGGGCTCTGCCCCAGCAGGGCAGTGACAGGAGCGTCTTAAACCCAGTGATAATTAAGGAATGTCTATAAACTGGCATAAATTCTGATTTCTGTCGCTGCCTGGTACCTCCCCAGCTGGCAGCAGGGGCTCACTGCTGCTTGTGCAGTTGGGAAGTTGGTGGTCAGGCACTGGAACAGACTGTCCAGGGCAGTGGTGGAATCTCCATCCCTGGAAGTGTTTAAGAAGCACGTAGGTGTGGCACTGGGACATGGCTTAGTGGTGGACCTGATAGTGCTGGGTTAATGGTTGGATTCAGTGATCTTAAAAATCTTTTCCAACCTTAATGATTCCATGATTCTAAGTTGGAAATGGAGCTGTGAAACCCCCACAGCTGAAACCCCGCTTGTCCCACCAACCCTTCTGTGGCTCAGTGTCTGAGTCCTGAGCCCCCATTTCTCTTGTAGGCCTTGGACTCGCCTTCAACTTGAACCCAGCCTTAACCATGATCGGCAAGTACTTCTTCAAGAAGCGTCCGCTGGCCAACGGGCTGGCGATGGCAGGAAGCCCTGTCTTCCTCTCCACCCTGGCGCCTGTCAACCAGATGTTCTTTGGCATATTTGGCTGGCGTGGCAGCTTCCTCATCCTCGGTGGCCTCCTGCTGAACTGCTGCGTGGCCGGATCCCTGATGCGGCCCATAGGTCCCAAGCCGGATCAGAATAAGGAGGCGCAGCAGGAGGCTGGGAAGGCAGGGAAAAAGGATGATGGTGACACCAGCACAGACCTCATCGATGGCAAGGGCAAGAAAGAGAAGAGCTCGTTCTTCCAGACAATCAACAAGTTCTTGGACCTGTCTCTGTTCACGCACAGGGGCTTCCTGCTCTATCTGTCAGGCAATGTGATCATGTTCTTTGGGCTGTTCGCTCCCTTGGTCTTCCTCAGCAATTATGCAAAGAGCAAGAAGATCCCTAGTGAGTCTGCAGCCTTCCTGCTCTCCATCCTGGCCTTCGTGGACATGGTGGCCAGACCTTCCATGGGACTGGTGGCAAACACCAAGTGGATCAGACCTCGCGTCCAGTATTTCTTTGCCATCTCTGTGATTTACAACGGGGTTTGCCACCTCTTGGTCCCCATGTCCACCACCTATGCTGGCTTCTGCATTTATGCTGGATTCTTTGGCTTTGCCTTTGGCTGGCTGAGCTCGATCCTGTTTGAGACCCTGATGGACCTGGTGGGAGCTCAGCGGTTCTCCAGCGCCGTCGGCCTGGTGACCATCGTGGAGTGCTGCCCTGTGCTCCTGGGACCCCCTGTGCTAGGTAAGGATGTGCTGTGCCTGGGGGACTCACTTGAGGATGTGGTTTAGTGGTGACCACTGTGGTGGCTCTGGGTTGATGGTTGGACTTGATAATCTTAAAGGTCTGTTCCAACCTTAACGGTTCCATGACTCTGGCTGTCCTGCCTGGCCTTGCTGAGCCGTGGCATGTCCCCCTGAACAATGGGCAGCCCTTGGCACTGGGGCAGGGGTGAGGAGACCACCCTGGCATCTGAGAGATGGCTGAGGAAGTGGGGGCTGAGCCCCTGGCATGGGGTGGGGGAGCAGGGAATAAAGGACTGTGGGAGAGGTCCTTGCCTGAAGGTGCGGGTGATGGTTTTGGGCTGGTCTTGGCAACATAACCCAAGAGCTGCTCCAGGTTTTGGGGATCTCGCTAAGCTGTCCCCTCTCCGTCCCTCAGGGAGGCTCAATGACATGTATGGTGACTACAAGTACACGTACTGGGCCTGCGGGGTCGTCCTCATCATTGCTGGGATCTACCTCTTCATCGGGATGGGCATCAACTACCGCCTGGTGGCAAAGGAGCAGAAGGCGGAGAAGGCGAAGAAGGAAGGGAAGGAGGAGGAGACCAACGTGGACGAGCCCGAGAAGCCGAAAGAGGCGAACAACGATGTGGCCCCCTCTCCTCAGAAGAGCTCTGAGGATGTTGTCAAAGAGGAGGAGAGCCGCATGTGAGGGACCGGTCTCAATCCCGGAGTGTCGGGAAAGCGCTGCTGCCCTGGCGGGGCGGCCGGGGCACAGCTCTGCTGGCGCTGGGCGGCCGTGAGAAGTGTTTAAACCAGGTGTTCATTTTTAAACAGGCTCTGAATTGTCTTTCCATCTGTGTTCAACAAAGGTAACAGGCCTACACATGCAGTATCCTCGTGTGTCGGGGGCAGGGGGGGTTTATAGTCTTGGCTTTTTAACAGTAACATGAATGTACTAATATGTGCCTTACAGTCTCCATATCTAGTCAAATCTGGATGAGCCTTAACTCTAAACTGTGCTTTAGCTCTGTATTCTGCTTGGGGTTGGGGAGGGTGGGGGGGGGTGTATGTGTGTGTTTTGGGGAGTTTTGTTGTTAAAAAGCCATAAAAAGCAGGATACTGGATTTGTTGGAGCACGATGAGCTTCAGGGCCAGCCCTGGATGAATACTGCTTCACACGCTTCTTACCGCAGGCCCTCTGCAGGGGGGAGAGCCGGGCACGGGGCAAGGTGCTCCTCGACCCTCGTGCCCGGTGCCTCCTGGCTCTGTAGGTGGTCTTTTAGGTATGTTTTGAAAACACTTTTTAGCTACTGTAGTTCTTTAAAGTCCCTGTTTTTGTAGCTGTTCTCTCATGGGATATTCAGGTTCAAGAAGGACGGCTGTGGTTCTTGCTGAGCAGCGTTACCCGCTCCGGGGCCGTGGCAGTCTGGGTGTGCCCCAGCCTTCCTTGGGCAGGGCTGGGGTCTCCCCTGCCTCCCCACTCTGCCCTGATGGTGCCTCTTTTCAGCCCCATGCTGGGTGATGTGAAATGGGGGGCTCAGTTTGGGGTGCTGGCATTGATCCTGCTGCAGGTCTGTGCTGCCCTGTCCCTCCACGGGGTGGGTTTCCACCAGAGCATCCCACCCACAGGAGTGTTTTGGGTGCCTGACCCTGGGCAGAGTGGTGGGGCACGTGGAGATGGTACATCCCTGAGACTTTCTGCTTTTGCTCTTTTACCTGTTAGAGAAACCTCTTTTACTTGCTTCTGTTCAACTGAGATCTTCAGGCGGTGGATGCCGAACCTCTCACATCTAGGACACGTAAGGGGGAGGAAAGAATTTGTATGTATTTATTTTTTATTTTTTAGTGTTGGAAAATATCTCAATGTACGTGGAGCAGGTTAATGGCTCTCAAGTTCTAGTACATGTTGATCAGAATTCATGTTAAGAGGCTGAGTTTTTTCAAATAAACTTGTTTTTTTTTTACAATTTACCCATCAAATGTTGAACTTCTTTCTTAGAATCATACTTCTGTGTGCTAGACAATGTAGATTTAGGGTCAGTTTGGGGGAGAGGGAAGTGGGGCTGTGGCAGGGCAGATGCTCTTGCTGTCTGTGCTGTCTCCCTCTGAGCTGAGTGGGACCACGGCCGTATGGGAGCTGAAACCAAAAGAGGGGTTAAATGAAGGTGGTCCTGAGGGAGCTGTCCTGGGGTCCCTGGACTCCTGGTAGGGTCAGGCCCTGCACTGCAGCCACTCTCCTTATGCTCCCTTGGCTGCTAGGCCACTTTGGGCCTTGCTTTGGTCTAAATCTTACAGAAAGGAGGGTGGGTTGGGTTTTTCATACTGCAGAGTAACTTAATAAAGCCAACAGGTTACTTTGTACAAGAGGATGTTGTGCAGTGCTAAACTGTGATACTGTAAAGCCAAGTAACTGGCTGATGTGTCTACTGGACCACAGGGATGGGCTCATATCACAATAACCCACCCTTGGGGAGCTGCCCCTGTTCTCCTAATTTTTGCAGTACAGGCAGGTGGGTCTCCAGTGGGGTAAAAATCTCCCAGTCAAGTAGGGGCTGCAGGAGGGGCTGGGATGTAGCTTGAGCTCCTCTGCCAGGTGTGTGGCTGATGCTCTGCTGGTCCCCTCCCTTCCTGAGCAGGGGGGGTCCTGTCTGGGCTGTGGTACCACTGCAGCTGACAGGGGTGTTACCATAGCCAGCACTGCTGGGAGAGGCTCACAGAGCCAGAGGCAGGGAGCCAACCCTGCTGCTAAGGAAAAAAGTGTTTAAATAATTTCCTGCTGCTTGGACGTGGCTGGCCTGGAACACTTCAGTAGTAAATCCCAGTTGTTTTCTAAGGGTGGCCTCCATGCCCTGTCTGGAGCTGGGTACCAGCCCTGTCCTGGTTCCAGGACCTCCTGTGGGACTGCTCCTGGGATCCAACACTGTGGAAGTGCAGGTGAGGGAGGAAGGTGTGTGTGGGGTCAGGAGGAGAAACTCTTGCCCTCTATTAGGCTATAAACTCTCAATTGCCCTGGTTAGGGCAGAGCACAGTTCTTGCTGTGCCTCGGCAGGGCTGACACCACCCCAGAGCATGGACTCTGCCCTGGGCCAGCCTCTCCCACTGGACAGGGGCTGTCCCTGTGCCTGTTCCTCCTGGCTCAGCTCACTGGAGCAGCAGGGCTATATTTAGTCACGTTATTTCTGTGAGCAGAGGTATCTCCAGTGCTGAGAAGTACAAGAGCTGGGCTCCCAGAGCCTCTCACTGTTGCCTCTACCCATAAACCAGGAGCTAAAATTAGGCACAGGGCTCAGTGTGTCGGGTGGGAGCCTTGACTTTCCCTGTGGTGATGAGTGAGTGGGCAGTGGATGCTCAAACCAGCCCTGTGTGTGCAGCCTGTGTCCCAGGACTGCCCTGGAGGCTGAACCCACGGCACTGTTTAACTGGAGCAGACTGGGATCTGCTGGGATGATCCCTTTCCAAAGGACCACAGGACACCTATGGGGACGTGTGAGCGCTTCCCTGCTCCCCAGGCCAGGAGGTGTGAGCAGTGGGAGCATTGTTGGCCAGCTCCCCTCATTCTTCCCCAGGTTTCCTCTGCGGGACCGGCCACGCCACCTTCCTTCCTCCGGGGGCAGCAAAATAAAATTCCCTTCATAGCGGGCAGAATTGAGGAAATAGTTGGGAGCTAATTCCCGTGCAGTTTGTTTTCCCAAACATGCTCGGCAGCAGCTGGGGGGGTGTTTGGGGGCTCCCAGAGGAGCAGGCGGGTGCTCCAGCTGCCGGCTGGGAACCGCTGCCAGCGGCTGATGGCCAGCAGCAGCCAGGCTGGCTGAGGGTGGGATCCAGGACAAGGCAGGCAGATTCCAGCTGCCCTCCTTCCTTCTTTCCCTCTGTTAGGGAATTTGGGAGGCAGCTCACTGGGTGGCCCCTCTGGATGCCGTAGTTGTGGGTTGGGGAGCCACTGCTGCCTCCGTCTGGGTGTTGGGGACATTCTCCATCGCCTCCCTGGGGGTGCCCAAGTGCACCCCAACCCTTGAGCCCATTGCCCAGGTCTGTGGGGCAGGAAGCTCCTGCCGTGGTGCTGTGAGAGGCCAGGCAGCCCCTCAGCCCTACACACAGACACTCCTGGCCTCCTGAAGCAGCCTAATCCTCCCCACAATGCTGCACAATCCCCTTCCTGGGGAGAGGGGAGCTCGGCCCCAGAGCTCATTCATGTGACAAGCATGAGGAGGGGATCTGGGTCCCTGCCCGCTCCCGCTCCTCCCAGGGACTTTATTCAGTTTTTTTGGGAGATTTGGGTTCTGCTGAGTGTGCAGCTCCATCTGAGTGCTCGGGGCTGCTGCTCTGCAAACAACCGCTGCTGTTCCCAGCCGCCGCCAAGGCGCTGGCGGGCCGTGCTGGGGAGGGAGGGCAGTGCTGGGAAAGGCTCGTCTGTCCCACAGCTGGCACTGCCCGGCTGTGACTGCCCACGCTGGCTGGGACAGGGGTGGGGAGAGTCACAGAATCATGGAGTGGGTTGGGTTGGAAGGGACCTTAAAGCTTATCTCGTCCCAACCCCTGCTATGGGGACACACAGGAGGACCAGCTTGCTCCAAGCCCCGTCCAACCTGGCCTTGGGCACTTCCAAGAAGTGGCAGCATGGCCAATGCCATCCACATGGCTGCTGCCAGCTGTCACCTTCCTGCTGCAGGTGGGTATAGGGGGATGAACAGAGCTCTGCAGTGCCCACCCCAACTCCCACGGAGGCTTTGGGATGAACTGTGGCTGCAGAGATGATTTCTCCAGCATCACTCAAACCCTCCTGCTTGCAGCTGAGGAGCAGGAGGAACCCACAGGAGGAGCTCATGGTCCTCAGGGAAGGCTTCCCTCTCCTCTTCTTCCTCCTTGGGCTGCCTGTGGGCCATGGCTGCGTCCGGGCTTGTGCCTGGCACAGGCAGAGCACACTTGTGCAATGAGCACCCTGACTCAGCCCTGAATCAGGCTGGAGAACCCTGCCCGTGGCACAGCACGGGGGTGGATGGGCAGGAGAGGGCAGATGGACACAGTCATGGCTCAGCCTTCTCTGCCTGGGCTGGATTCTGTGGGGAAAACCAACAGGCCCCTAAAGCAAAGGAGCAGTGCAGGAGACAGATAATCAATGCTGCAGGATGATCATCAATTATTTTCAGTGCACATTATATTCTGTTAATGAGAGCCCTTTGCTGTGTCAGAGAGCAGTTCCAGAGGAGGTGAGAGATGCCCTGCTCCACAGAACCATTCCAGAGGGGGTGAGAGATGCCCTGCTCCACAGAACCGTTCCAGGGGAGGTGAGAGATGCCCCGCTGCCACGGAGCCATTCCAGAGGGGGTGAGAGATGCCCTGCTGCCACACAACCATTCCAGAGGGGGTGGGAGATGCCCCGCTGCCACAGAGCCATTCCAGAGGGGTTGAGAGATGCCCTGCTGTCACAGAGCCATTCCAGAGGGGGTGAGAGATGCCCTGCTGCCACAGAGCCATTCCAGAAGGGGTGAGAGATGTGGGTGCAGTGCATCCCGGGGTGGCTCCACAGGGCACCCAGGACTGTGTTCACTGCAAACACGGCCAAGGACAAACTCTGCTGCACTTTGCCCGGGCTTTTCCCCTGGGTGGACCCGGGACCTTTGCTCTGGTTCATGCAGGGGCTGTGGTGTCCCCGTGTTGCTCACGAGCAGCCCCATGGCCCAGGGGTGTGCGGTGCTGCCCGGGCAGGGCTGGGGCGCTGCTCCCACGTGCCCGTGGAGTGCTCAGGATGGCTCTGGGCCAACGAGGCAAAGGAGGAGTTTGTGGGAAATGCTGTTTGGAGGCAAAGCAATGGGCAGGCAGATCCTGCCTGAGCTGTGAGCTGGGGCTGTGCACGGTGGGAAAGGTCCGTGGTGGCCCGTGATGGGCCCAGGTACATCCTGAGCATCCCGGGTTTTCTACGGTGCTGGCAGATGGGAGGTGTCCACAGCTGCTGGGGCCAGTGCTTCAGCCAAATGCCCATCTGTGCCCACCCCCCTGCCTGCCCTGCACCCATCCTGCTCTTTGGAGAGAGGAGGAGATGCTCATTGGAGCAGGCACTGCTCTCTTTGGTGACCAGTGACAGGACCCCAGGGAATGGCTGGAGCTGTGCCAGGGCAGGGTTAGATTGGATATTAGAAAAAGGTTCTTCCCCCAGAGGGTGGTGGGGCACTGAACAGGCTCCCCAGGGCAGGGGGCACGGCCCCAAGGCTGCCAGAGCTCCGGGAGTGTTTGGACAACACTCTCAGGGGCGTGGTGGGATGTTGGAGTGTCTGTGCAGGGAGCTGGACTCAATGACCCTTGTGGGTCCCTTGCAGCTCAGGATATTCTATGATTATATGATTTACCCCCCTGTAAATCAGCAGAGCCTCCTGGGGTTGCGGAGAGTCGCCTGCTCATTCCTCTTGGTTGTCACCTTCTCAACAGCAGCTTTTATTGCCGTGCTGCCCCGTGATGTTTGGCTGTGGCTTGATACGAATTTAATTATCACTATTAATCATGAGAAGGGGCTGTGACGGTGGCTTGTAGAGCCACCACCAGGATTTACAGCCAGAGCAGCCGGTCGCTGGTAAAATTAGGGCTGGGGCAGAGCATCAGCGACCCACGCTGGGGGGAGCAGTTTGCAGGCAGGAGCGACGTGCAGGCAGGAGGCTGCACAGTCATCCCGGAGTCGGATCCCAGCTCCATGAGCACCCTCTCGTGGCAACCACCCCCCCACGGCCCCGCTCCCCCAGCAGCACCCCCAGCCCGGGTCCCCTTTGTGCCCCGCAGCCCACGAGCATCCCGGGGGGGCCGGATGCTGCATCCCGGCAGCTCCCACAGCTTGGAAGTCCCTGCTGGGACTGGTTCCCACAGCGGGAGGAGGAGGTGGGAGCACGGTGATGAATTCAGGGTGCAGTGGGAGCCAGGACAGGGTCCTGCAGGGGCTGCAGGCAGGGCTGTGCTGAGTTATCCCAGACTCCTTCA